TATGCAAGGAAGTGAATATAATGATGGAGCTGAAGTCTAATCCACACAAGCAGGAAACTGAACATGATGGAGGGGTAAATGGTGGATAACAAAACTTAAATAAGGTCAATGGTTTGGAAGTCCCAATGAAGCTGAGACTTTAGCTGGAAACATAAAATAGTGGGAGATTAGGACGCATGACATTGAAATTATAAAGTCGATGTTGTGATTGGTACTGACAGGGTCAGTTTGAGCAGTCTGATTATAAATAGAGGCCAAATTTATTGATGGCAGAGTCAGAAAACTAAGAAATCATGATATTAAATGGATTTTCTGTGTAGATATGGAAATCACTAACAATAATTCCTGTAAGAATGATGTAAATAAATTGTAGAAATTTAAAAAGCAAGATATTCAAGGAATGGATACAAATATAAATGCATACATTTGAGTAAAAATTAAAAGTAAAATCAACAGAAGTTAGCCATGAGTCAAAATGAGATGGAAGAAGAATAGGGAGAAAAAGGCATTAAAGACAGCTCATTGGTCTCTGACTTCAATGGATGAATCCCTGTATTATTGCTAAATTAAAACTGGGTGATCAGCAGTTTGATTTTGAATATTCTGAATTTGAAATGATCTTGAAATTTCCAAATAAAGATATTGAGTAGGTAGTTTGATTGGTTGGCCCTTGAGGAAAGTTCATCCTAAAAATAGAAATCCATGAAGTTTTTTATGATGGGAAGTGACTGAATTCATAATAGCAGTAGCATTGCCTATGATGTGTGGTAAGAGAAGAGCAGCCTAAGATTTGCCCTTGTATAACATCAATATTTTATGAGCAGAAGTCTGACTAGGGAGTGGAAACAGAGATGAGGAAACAAGGAGACTATGATGTCACAGAAGCCAAAGCTAATCTTTAAAAAAGGAAGACGTAGCCAGTAGTGTTGAAAACTCATGAAGGACCAACATGTTGAAAGAGTAAAAAGTATCGTTGGATTCAGTGACGTGGAGCCTATCGGTGACTCTCAGGAGAGCTTCTTCACTGATATAGATGGAAGAGAAAACAGAGAATGTCAGTTGAGGCCGAAGTGAAGAGGGGAAAGACAAAGCAGGGAAGACCATCTTTTGAAGAAGTTTGGGTGTTAAAAGGGGAAGAAAAAATGTGTGGGAGCTTGGAGGAAGTGATGAGATTGAGGATGGAGATAAATATATCCCTATACATCTCCCAAGTGGTAGAAGATCCGAGCCTATTTAAATCGTAATGAAGGAATATAATTGGGAGGGGAATTTTAATATTGATGTAACACGTGAGTGAGCAGAGGTTAATACATGATCGCAGTAAAGCAAGTGAGGATGAGATTCCAGACTGCACGTGGTGAGACAGATATGGGGACTAACACCTCCCCTAGTGTAAGGAGCAGAAGGGCACAGGAGTGCCTTAAGGTTGTCTCCAGCATTTTCATGTGTCCTTTCTTCTCTTTTGCTGGGTGATCCAGTGCTTTCTTTTTTTTTTTTTTTCTTTAACAAGGACGTGTTGGGGAGACGTGGGTATAATGGTCCTTTTGCTCTTAAAGCAGCACCAGATAGCCAGGTCTGTCCTCTGGTGAGCTGTTGTCTTGTGAGCTGTTGAAGGATGGAAGGAAACAGAGAAGTACCCCTGGTAGGTTTTAGTCAAGGACAGGGGGCTTGCACATGGAGAATATAGGGGATTGGATGTTTCTGAAGGCACAATAGAAGCTTTGGTTGGATTCTCAAAACTGAGAAAAAATTTATTGAAACTGGCAAGAAGGAGAGTTTTCAACCCAAGCTCAAGTAGTCTCAGAAGCAATTTAACAGAATGGTGGAGTTTACTGTTGGGAATTGTAAAGCAAAAGGCAGACCCTTTGTTTAAGGAATTGGCTGTCAGAAAAAAGAGGGAGATGGAACTCAAATTCTATTTCTTATTTTGTTCCATATAACCCACATAATTACCTATGAAATTTTATTTCCATTCTATTCCTCAACATGAACTCCAGTAAGAATGAGCTCCAACACATAACACTTTTTTGAACTCTTTTCCTTCTTTGGATTTGGGTATTTCCCCTGCCCAAAATGTCCTTTAAATCCTTTTCTATCTATGTGAACACAGCTGTCCTGGAAAGATCTATGAGTTCTACTGCTCTGTGTCCTCTTTGTTTTATAGTATTTTTCCATTGTGAATAATTTATAATTTGTTGTAAAAATTTGGAAAATATATAAAATTATAAATTTAAAATAAAATAACACACTGCCTTCTCAGGTATATCATACTATATGTTTTAGTAAGAGTAATATTTTAAAAATTAACTTTATGAAGTCTTTTCTGTTTCATTGTATATTTATAACAACAAACCTTAATGCCTTTCTAGTATTCCATGATATAAATGTACCATAATCCACTAATTATGTTTCTGATATGAGCCCATTTTATTTTATTTTAATTTCAAGACAACTTTAAATTAATAATTTAATTTTTTAAATTTTAATTTTAGTTTTAAAAATCTTACTATGTATTCCAAGCTAGCCTAGAACTTGTAATCTTACTGCCTTAGCCTCCCAAGTACCTGTGACTGCAGGCATGTACCACCATGTACCCAGTTCCTACTTAATCTTGTAAATTAAACATGTTCTTCTGTGTGTATATATGTGTGGTTCTGGGGATAGAACCCACGGCTCTTGTACTAAGCTACATCCCAACCATGTTTTCAAATTTCTTTTTTCTTTTTTTGACACAGGATCTCAGTGTGTCCCTGTGTTTCCCAGACTGGGCTTGAACTCGCCTTCCTCCTGACTCAGCCTCCCATGGTGCTGGGATTACAGGCATGCATCACCATGCCCAGTTTAAAATGCTTTTTTAAGTAAATCCTTATATACATAATTAATAATACCCTCAGCGCAAAATCCTGTAACTGTCTTACTAATTCAAAGACTCTGGTTATATATACAAGATGTATTATTTTCTAGAATGTCTATAAGTTACCCTTCTGCAAGCAGCATGAGGGTGACATATCACTCCTTTAATTGTTTAACATTCTAATTTCTTGGGTGGAAAAAATAACTTCTTATTGAGGTTTTTATGTTTACTAATTAATTAAATATTTTGTAGTTATTGGTCACTGGATGTTTTCTTCTTTGTATTATCTAATCATGCTGTTGACACATAAAATATAACGTTTAATTAAATTCCAAAAGTGTTTAGTATTCCTGATCTAAAATTTTTTTGCATGCTAATTAGGTTAACCATGCCTTACATTTGTTATTTTCACCCTGTTGTTTCCCCAGTGAATTATATTGCATTTATCATAATCTTTACAGAATTCTTCATTGCTAGAGGACACATAGCACCCTACAGTCTCAGTTTATAATCTTAATATTGTAGTCTCTATTGTCTTATATTGTTTCTTAAGTTTCTTTCATGTTACTCTTTTATTGCCCGAGAGGTAGTACCTTAAGAACCAGAAAAATTCTATTTTGTCACCATCTCAAGATTTCGAAACAGTACTATATTATTTGACTTCTTAGTCCATTTTCTGCTGCTGTAACAAAATACCCCAGATTGCATAATTTACACACAATAGACGTTTTATTTGGCTTGTCGTTCTGGAGGCTGGGAAGACCAAGAGCAGGGCCTTAGCATTTGGTGAGGTTTTCAGGATCAGTCATAGCATGGTGAAAAGGAAATAGCACATGCAAAATAGAGAGAGAAGAGTCTGGCCAAACCCATCCTTTTCATCAGAAACCCACTCCCTCCCTAACTAACCCATTCCCGCCCGGGACAGAGCCCCCATGACCTGATCACCACTTAAAGGTCCCACCTCTTAATATAGTTCGAGATTAGGTTTCCAATCTATGACTTTTGGGGGGACATAGTCAAGCCATAGCAACTTCAGATTAGTTTCCAAAATTATTATTACAAATACTCACCAAAATATAGGGCAAATTAACTTATTGTTGGTTACTGTAATAAAAAATGCAGATATGTTTAAAGACCAAGGCCAGGCATACATGATTTTTCTGATAACTTACAGTTAGACCATTAGAGAAGATAAACCCTAGAGCATATTAAAATTATCTCAAAACTTTTAGGATTATGTATTAAAGAAACATTCTCTTCTGAGCATGTTCCTGGAATCATAGCTAAGTGAAAGGTGGTGTGAACCATGTGATAAATGATAATTTCTCATGTCAGACAGCCTGACTTTTTTGGAGCATGCTGGTTTTGCAAGGATTTATAGCACCCTGCCTTCATGCTGGAGTTACTTCAGCTTTCCATGATGCATTCCAACTAATCTGAAGGTTAAGGCATTCCTTGATCATAGATAGATCCGATTGCTACTCAGCCCTGGAATTCTTTATAAAATTCCAGAACTTGGGCTAGAAATTGACTTAGTGAATTCAATAAAGTTGCAAGCCTTGGAAGTCATCCAAACTAAATTTACAGGCTGGAAAAAATATGGGCTTTCCATTGTTCTCCTGTTCACCTTTCAGAGATGTGTTTTGCGTCCATGTGAGTGTATGAGTGTAAATTTATCATTTTGCTGACACTGGAATAGAAATAACCATTGAAGGCATCCAGTTGAAGAATTTTCACCTTGGATCTCCCCTGGTCTTTGTGAATTTTGACCCAAACCTGCACCAAAAGTGAATTTCTTTTCTCTCTGTAGGATGTTGATATCATAAAATAAGAAATTGTTCTTGATAATGAATCATGCAAATACAAGAGCTGACATACATGTTTGCCAGCCAGGTACAACTCCAAAATCTCCGTTCTTCCTCTGGCTCTATGGTGGCCTTCTTTCTGAGATATCGTCTAGAAAATGTGATCATACATATTGTTTTTGTCCATTCTGTGACATGGTAATAGGGACAAGAAAACAAGCTCAGGAGCATGTAAGAGACATCAGTCTTTGCGTGTGCTTCGTGCTGCACAGGGTGCAGGGAGTGGAGATCTCAACAGTCCCCTCATGGCTGACCACTGAAAGCCTGTTTTTTTCTTGCAGAATGGATTTGCCGCTGTGAGACCTCCAGGTCATCATGCTGAAGAATCCACAGCCATGTAAGTACCAAGGACTCTCACCCATCTCCATGCACCCCAGTTCCTAGCGGTCACCTGCCCTATGCATGTTTCTGAAGCCTCTAATTGTTAGCAGATGGACTGAAAAATCTTGCAAGGTACTCCCAGAAGCAGATTTATGGCTTCAGAGATCATATAGCATTTTAAAAAATGCTCTGAACATTATTTATAATGGTTTTCCTGGATGATTTGCTTTCTTATTTCTCTGTTCTTCTCTATTCCACAGGGGGTTCTGCTTTTTTAATTCAGTTGCAATTACCGCCAAATACTTGCGAGACCAACTAAATATAAGCAAGATATTGATTGTAGATCTGGTATGTATTCCTGGCCAGAGCTGCATTTTCAGACTCTAGATAAAAAGGAGTGGATTTATATTTCTCTGTTAGGGTGTCTTGCTTTTAGCACTTGCAAACAACCGAAGGGTGTGTTTCCTTTGAATGTGGAAACTCATTAAATTCAGATTGCAGTTCTGAAACCATAAACATTCACGTTTCACTTTCATGGTGTTAACTGCAATTTAATGAGAAGAAGGCGCAGATCAGGGCAACTTTTATGATCCTTAAATGAATTGATACTTCCACAGTTAAAATAACCCAACAGAACCTGAATTTACTTTTCCCTACAGAATATAGACTTTAAATAGTCAGATGTGCTGGAAAGAATGCTGTTGCTTTGGTAACCGGTTGGCCACTTCCCCTTGTTAGCAATCATGTCCCTTGTTATGCAACAATGGTATTATTAAAACAAGTCAGCGTGTCATTCTTTCTGAAAAGATCTCAGATCGCAGATGCCAGTTTGGGATGATTCTGCAGGAATCCTGGGTGATTAAAAGTCAGAGGCATTAGAGTAGTCTTAGATTTAATATAATGCATTGTTACACAATAGTTATAATTTGTTTAACAAATGGTTTGTTTAAATGCAGATGACACTTGGCATGTTGTCTAAAGTATATTCATGAATAATGAGCTGGAGATCTGCCCCATACCAAAAGGACCAACCCAGGAAAAGGCGAAAGAGAACTGAATGGTGATTTATGAGCCCCGTTTTCGGTTTGCCTCTAGTTCACAAGGAGGTGTAATAGGTTGTCTGACAAAGCATAGACAGGAAATGAACCCTGGCATCCAAACCGAACCTGCTACATCTGCACTTAATTAATTTTTGCAGGTGATAAAAGATTTAAAGGCAAAATATGTTAAAGGTTTTTTTGAAGTGCAAGGCTTAATAGTCTAAATCTTGTTCATATCTGCACTCATAATTAAATCTTATTGGAAGTCATGGCCTCATCCTCCAGCCCTCTGATTTAGTTAAGTAGGCACACCAAAGGGGCAAGAGAGCACAAACAAAGCCATGTGAAGAAATACTTAGTTAAGTTAAAATGAACAGAAAAGTAATGGAAGAGTTGTTACCAGTTCTAGGGCTCGGCTGGAATGGCTGTTTTTCACACACTGTATTGAAGCCTTCCTACAAGCACTTTTGTGTGAGGCATGTTAAAACCTAACTTTCCGTATATTTTCCAAATATGTTTCAATGTAGGTCGTAGTTCATTATTAAAACAATGTGTTGAAGGCCTAGATATACGACAGCAGCAAAGTCTTAAAATTTTTGCATAAATGGAGACATCAGTTCCTGTTTTCCTATGTACACACAAAAGGAAAATTTAAAGTATTTTGCATGAATTATAAGATATTACATTTTTAAAAATTAGTATGCTCATAGTTTTGCGAATTTGATGCTAGATATATGACAAAAGCTTGAAGAAAGGATAGCAGATGAAGTCCAAAGATTGTGTGAAAAAAATTTTCTAAGCATTCTAAATTTGTCAAAATTATGTAAGACAGTGATTGCTCAGTTGTTCACCCTGTTCCTAAGAATCTTTTAGTTATTTCCTTTCTAGGAAATCTCCTCTGATGTCAGTTGAGGGTTCTGTGATGATAATAACTGTTGAGTGTCCTTTGAAACCACATTTATGATATTCAAATTCAAAAGCAGCAAATTCTGTAACAGACTGGTAAGCTAAAACACCTAGCTTATGATAGATGGATATGTTGTACTTCAGAGGATTTATATGCAAAGCTTTCTTTTTATCCATTAGCATAGAAATAAAAGACTGATGGCGATAATCTGATATGTTTTATAAAATAGTTTATTTGGTAGGTCGAAAAAGTTCCTGTAAGCTTAGTGGCCTTTCCTTAAGAATTTGCTCCACTGCCCAATCATAAGGGATTCTCATTTCTCAATAGGCTGTAGCCAATGATATGTTTTTATTTCAAATTCTCTAAACATATGAAGTTCTGTCCAAAGAGTTGCCTCTGAGATCACCACCAGGCCACATATTCTTACTTTCAAGTCTTCCAAATTCTGCAGCTGCAGGGCTACTTTGAGGAAATTCCTGCTCTTCCAGCTGCTGAGAAGGAAGTTTTAAAAGTGCCACGTGGCGCTGAGACATCCATTCTCCCTGGCTGACAGGTCTATTCCGCAAGTTAGCAAAGGAGAAGCAGTGAAGGTTCTTTGATGATGAAAGAGCTTCATTACTGCATATCCAAAGTCTTTCACATTAGCTGATCAGTGTGAACTAGATCCACAAATTCCAGGCCAACAGAAGGCAGACCTACTTCACTGTCCAACAGCTAGTTTCGGCATTTTTATATGCCTAGTAAATACAGAGCCAGAATTCTAATTCACCTTCTATTTTGGGTCATAGCCAAATTTAGAAGCTTTGAACATTTTAAGCAGGTATGGTTCTAGTTGATGTGTGAAGCTCATTCATGCCATTTCCTTTTCTGCTTTCTGGGGAAGATTCCAAACACATTCAAATTGGTTTGGAAAGGGAGCAGGTGTACCTGCTTTTAAACTTGCAAGAGGCCTGCTATTATGTTCAGGGCATTAACCTGTCCTACAGTAGGATTTTCCTGCCTGACTCATGTAGCTTTTAGGTATTCTGACTTTTAGTTAGAAAATAACACTTTTTAGATTTTCTTTTTTTAAAAAAAAAGTTACTTGAAATGTGAGATTTGGGAAAATTCTATTGGTAATGAAATACTTTTAGATTTTTATCACAAGACTTTATACTAAATAATTGAGTGATAACATTAGCTGGTAGAATGTGTGCTCTTTTCAAAACTACCTTGATGTAAAAATGAAAGTATGTTTGTTCTAAATTTATGTACAGAATAAATTCTTACAATATACTTATGTAACTAGTAAGATACTGAAATAATTTTTCCATTTCCCAGCATATCTTAGATACAAAGTCTATTTGGGAGCTTTTAATGAACAGTTCATTTCATTTCTGTAATTTCTCACAAGTTCGAGTAATTTTCATCACGCAGTCTAGTATATATGTGTTGCTATGGAGAAACAAGCCACAGATCATTTCTGAGCACTCAGTAGTTTGTATGAATATTTTGTAACAAGGAAAACTAGGAAAATGATAAGATCTTCCTAAAACTATACTACTGTAAGTTGTTGCCCAAAACAAAAGATATACTTGGGTTGAACTTTTATCCCTGAATATTTTGGTGAATGTAGACACATAATCAAGGACTGCACGAGTATTAGAATGGATTTATGTATTTTAATAAATAATGTCTATGGAAAAAGTTACTATACTAAAGAAGACTATTTTTTATTCAGAAAAATAGACACTAATCCACACCCAACACAGTTTTCAAGAACAAATGATTTTATACTTGAGAAAATTTTTCATCTTTTATTTGATCTTTTTAAATAAGCCTTTCCAATGTCCCTAGAGAAACAAGAGTAATCAAGGCAATATTTTTCTGATTTTCCAACTGTGGACGGATTTATGCCCAGAGCAAAATTTGTCTTACAACTTTGAGTATTCCTTTAGTGAAAATGGAGACATTCACTTTTTTAAAAGTTTTTGTTTTCAGTTTTGCCCCCATCCTTTAGATAACCAGTAGCAAACAAGAAAAATTTTTTCCTATAAAGGAAAATAATTTTGCTATACCCCTCTTTTCTTTAACTGTTCAGAAATCAGAAATTAATGCATTTTTCAGTAAGTTATTATCTTTATATAATGTGTATATCTTTAGCTGGAACAGTTTCTGAGATGATTTATGTCTGCCCCAACATTATGATTCCTTAATTAATTTTGGGTATCTGTACTGTACAACAGGGGGGACAGGATTATTGATATCTATGCAATGGATGGCAAGCTCAAAGCAGGTTTTCAGAACCCATCAAAAGGATGGTTTGCTCTGTCTGCCGAAGGAGTTTGGGGGTGGAAGTTGGAGTAGCAACAATCATATAAACCTCAATGAGGAGAAATAGTACCCAATGACTTTATCACACAAATTCATGAGAAGATCAAAGAGATAATGAATATAAATTTAACAGTGTAGTAATTGAGAATATATCATTTAAAGTAGGAAATGGATTCAAGACCCCGTCATCAGATTTATCCTTTCTTTGTAAGGTAGTCTTTGTAAATTACTGAAACTCTCTAAGCTTCATGTTTTTTTAATCTTTTAGTAGAGATAACACCACATAACACATATAATTATTAAACAATTCATGCAAGGTATTTAATATAGTGGCTGATGTAAGAATTACAGGAATCAGCTTTGAAAAGAGAATGATTCTTACTTATGTAAAATAAAGCACTACATAGTTTAAAGTTTAAAAATTATAACAGAAACAGAAATGATATACTGTATAATTAATGCTGCAGTAATAATATTCTACTGAATACAAATATACAGATTATTAACTTTTTGGGGATGGGGTACCAGGAATCGAACTTGGGACCTTGCGCTTGGATTATTAACTTTTAAACAGTAGTCCATTTTATTTTTGTTCAGAAGATTTTAACCATATTAATTGAAGTTCTTTATACCTGAGGTATTTTAGTGAAGACATTTGCTATTAGTTTTATTTTTCCCACTACTTATATCAGTTCTGACATATATCCATATTATAAATGAATAAAAAAGAATTGTCAAATTTTGAATCATTATCATATATGAATATCCTAAGAATTGTTCATTTTCATGACATAGGCTTTTTGGGGGGTGGGAAGGCAGAGTGGTGTGGGGAAAGATAAAAATGTAGGAAGGAGGCTGAGAAGGGAGTCATAATATAATATTAAAATTAGGTAGATTGGACAAGGTTATGTAAGTCCCCATGTCATCTTCCTGCTTTACCCAAATGAGTTAAGAGCTAATGAGCTCATGCTCCTGTGTCTTCTCTTGCTATTACGATTTTACTAAAATGAAGTATGAAGTCCTTTTTGCATCTGGCATCTCTTTTGAAGTGACCCTAACTGCTCAGGGACTGCTCACTGAACTGAGTGCTTCAAGAAAGCCAATTTATTCAGCTGGTTGCAAAGCCTTTGACCTTAATGGTGGGACTTGGCAAATCAATGCATACACTTACGTTTAGTGTTCTGTCAAGAATTGTGAAAATGCTCTGTAAGCCATAGATCCTTCTGCAAAATACTAGTTTGTAGTTTAAACATCAGTCTTTTTTCAGAGGCCAATGAGGCTAGTTAATTAAGCCTGAGGGGTTATGAACTGTTGGCAGTTAATAAGTCATAAAATTCCTCCATAAAACAGGATGCGAGATTCCATCACTGAAGCAAAGAGTACAAAGAGCCGGTGTATAAATATCTAATTGTACCAAAGGACTGGGCTTTCTCAGTGACTGCTCATCTGGAGTCTCCAGGGCATGCTCGCTGTGGTTTCCTGATTTTTAGAGGCCAGTTTAAAAAATGAGTGCATTAAAGGGTAATTTGCCTAGAAGTTCAGGAAGTAAAGGGGGTGGTGTGGAAGCAGGCTGAATGGGAGAAAGAAAAAGAAGGACAGAGTAAGAGGACACAAAACAAGCAGGAGGGTGGAGTAGAAAGACAGGCAAGCAGAAATCAGAAAGGTTGTCTCCACACAAAGCAAGATGTGACTGTATTTGTCATCTGTTTTCTTTCCCTGTAGGATGTTCACCATGGAAACGGTACACAGCAGGCCTTTTATGCTGACCCCAGCATCCTGTACATTTCACTTCATCGCTATGATGACGGGAACTTTTTCCCTGGCAGTGGAGCCCCAAATGAGGTTCGGTTTATTTCTTTAAAGCCCCACTTTTATTTGTATCTTTCAGGTAATTGCCTTGCATGATTACCCCTAATTTTCTTGTCCTTTGCTGGTGTTTTCAATTACATGAGATTACTGAATTGTCCCACAGGACCAAGGGCCAGTGCAGAACAAGTGCATAACCCAGAGCCCCGGTTGTCAAGCAAGGTTGGGCTGATTTGACGCAGGGTTTGATGTTTATTTCAAGAGCTTCCATGCACTCACTTTCACCGTTTCTTGCTTTCTTCCTGTGCCCTCTTCTCGACCCACTGTGGCACGTCTTTCTCTTCCCAGGTTGGAACAGGTCTTGGAGAAGGATACAATATAAATATTGCCTGGACAGGTGGCCTTGACCCTCCTATGGGAGATGTTGAGTACCTCGAAGCTTTCAGGTTGGTCCTTCTTTCTCTCCAAAAATAGCAAATTAGAAAACACAAATGTCCGTGGAAACAGTACCAATTATGAAAGAGAAATATAAGTTTCTAACTAAGGCAAAAATATTGCTAGAGATCCATGTAGGAATATGAGTAAGAAAAATGGTGTATCAAGACCTAGAGGTATAGGCCGGGGATCTAGCTCAGTGGTTCCGCCGCCTGCCTTGCAAGCACAAGGTCCTGAGTTTGATCCCCATACAAAGAAAGAAAAAAAACGAGATCTACCGGTATATTGGTAAATGGCCCAGACTTTCCCCCCTTTCCCTCACAAAGATAAAAAGGTTTTAGTATGGGAAAATTCTGCCTATTATATAACATATGATGACATTTCCAATAGATATCAGGTATTAAATGTTTTGAGAAGTCTTTCCTTACATATTTAATCTGTTATTTTCCAAGCTTCATTGGATCACAGAATCTTTCTTCTATAGGAAGCAGAATTCTTAGCTCTGAGAAGAAAGCTCGCTCTCTTTAAGAACTTGGGTCTACGCTGTCTCTATGGCAGAGTAAAACAGTGGCTTTTGCATGCATTCTCTTTCACATTAAAGAATTAACCAATTGTTTATTTTCAATTTCTTTATGAGTAAATGGAATGTTTCCATCCATACTGCAATTCAATACATTTTATTCTAAGCAAAGAATTTCAAATAGCAATTTATAAGAAACACAATAAATTAATAGCTTTTTTTTCCCCAGTGCTGGAGATTGAACCTAGGACCTTGCACTGGCAAAGCAGGCATGGTGCCACTGAGCTAAATCCCTGACCCATTAATAGCTTTTTTTAAAAGATCAAATTTAGAAAGGGGCCTTTCTTACCTGGAATTAAAAAGAAAGACAATTCAGTTATTAGCTCCTTGTTTTCAGGAGAAATATCAGATTGTATCATTATGTGCCTCATTTACAAGACTTTTGAACATTTTAACTTGTTAACACTGCATACTTCTGGGGGTGTTTCATTTGGTTGAAAGAAAAATTACTGCATGAAAAAAAAACTTGAGAGGTATTCATAGTTTTCAAATGTACCATTTTTAAATCCCCAGGGAGAAAATCTTGTTGATAATGTATTTGAAACTTAGAGAAATAATGGTAATATTATCAATAAGTGAATCAAATGCTCCCAAAAGTGGTTAAGCGTCCTCCAAAATGACATTCTTTCTTTGCCTGAAAGGTGCACCATTTATATTAGGAAACTTTTAGTAAAATTTTCAGCACAGTTCACATTAGCTGAGATTAATTAGAGGAGTGGCATTATTTATTTAGGCTGCAGAAATTTTTTTTCCATTAAGTTTATTGGTACATTTTAGGTATACAGTACAGTTACATTCATAATTGGAATCTTGTACCTTTACATGATGTATCTTGGTTCTTATTTTTTCCCCATTCCCCTGCCCTCCCTTCACCCCCTCCATCCTTCCCTATTTACAAAGACTTTTTTTCCATTGTTTCCTTTTCTCATATTTTTTCTTTTCCCTTCTTTCCTTTCCCCTACCCCTTCCACTTCCCCTACTCCTTTAGACCTTTCCTTCCTATTTCACGTTATCAATTATACATTTTGATCCTTATTTACACTTTTTGTTTTTCACACCAGAGAAACTATTCAGTATTGACACACTTGTGTGTGTCCTATTTATTTCACTTAAGAGTATGGCCTCAGTGTAGATCCATTTATCTATAAATGTCTCTAGTTTCTTGTTCTTTATGGCTGAGTAGTACTCCATTTTATAAAAAAAACCCAGACAAACCAGGTCTTCTTTATCCAGTCTCCAGTTGATGAGCAATTGGGCTGTTTCCAAGTTTTAGCTATTACAAACTGTGACACTATAAAAGTGGGTGAGCATGTATCACTGTGGTATAATTCTTTTAATTCTTTGGGAAGATACCCAGCAGAGGAATAGCTGGGTCAAATGGGATCTCTGATCCTAGTTTTTTGAGGTATCTCCATACTGATTTCCACAGTGGTTGCACCAGTCTGCACTCCCACCAACAATGGAGAAGGGTTTCTCTCTCCCCACAATCCCTCCAGCATTTGTTATTGGTTGATTTCTTGATAGCACAGGCTGCAGAAATTTAAAACTGTGGCTTTTTAATGGTCATAGTTATTTTAACATCAAACTTAAGCTATAACAATCCTTATTAATGTTAAATGATAGCATGTCTGCTCTTCAAGGTATTATGCCTAGATATATATGTGAATTTGTTAAGGATGGCTCAAGAACATCAAAAATCATTCACTGAGCAAAAATTATATTACCAGACACTGTGGTGAGCACTTGGAATTCAGAGTTGTTCTTGCTTTCAGAGATCATAATAGAAACGATATTTATTGTTATAGAGAACAGAAGTGCTTAGATAGGAAGAATAAAATGATTAACTTTTCCTGAAGGGTTTCAGGCAAGGCTTCATCAAATATTATTCAACCTGTGCTTTTAAGTATGAGTGGAAATTTTCAGGGAAGGAAAGAGAATTCGGGTGAGGAGAATTCATAGGCTGCAGAGAGAATAGATGAAGAAACGCAAGGAGTGACAAAATGATCATTCTTTCTTGCCTCAAGGGCATGAGGGTGAGATTGGTGAAGGAAAATAGATCATTCTTCATAACGTCTTCTGCCCATCTAGGTCTGTCATCATCATCATCATCATCATCATCATCATCATCATCATCATCGTCATCATCTGTCTTCTTTGTAAATTTGGGCTGAAATATAATTAATTGGAAGACTCAAATAACTTGTGAGGCAGTATTATTGTGTAAGCTTATTGCTTTCTTTTTTTTTTCCTTCTGGGTACTGGGGCTCAAACTCAGGACCTTGTGCTTGCCGGGCAGGTGCAATGCCACTGAGCTACATCCCCAGCCCAGCTTATTGCTTTCATTTGGAAGTGACCCCAGAGGCTCATGTGTCAGAGGCTTTGTCACCTGCCTCTGGCTCCTTTGAAAAGTAGTGAAACCTTTAGGAGCGGGGGCCTAGTAGAAAGAAGTTTGGTCACTGGGGGTGCGCCATTGAAGACCATACTGGAGTCCCAGCCCTTTGCTCTCTCTCTCTTTGCTTCCTGGCCTCTGAAAACTGTAGTCAATCCAACATTTTCATCTTCATTGTGAGATTGAAAAGTCACTAAAAATATAATAGAATATCTAAATTATTTCAGATGATTTATTATTTCTTGCAAGCAGTTATTTATCCGTGAAGTAAATGAAGGATGTATTTAAGATTTTTCATAAGAGTTTTCAAATACTCAATAATATCAGATGTATTTCATGTTCAGCTAAGATTTGTTTCCAAGGTTACAATTTTGTGAGATAATTATGGCTATTTTTATTGAGATCTTACATGTCAGATCCAGATTAGAGCTTTTGTAGACATGGCAGCTGATTCTTGAGTGCACTGTATAAGTCACAGACCCTCTGATTGGAAGAGCCATGATGTGAACTCAGTCTATGGCTCTAAACTCTCTGCTCTGTCATGCCACATTGCTATTCTTCAGATTTACTTGACCTAAAATAGTGAGGAGTGAGAAAACACAATGAGCTTTATCAAAATATAAGACCTTTGTACTTCCACGGTCTCCCAACATAACCCACAAATGCTTAGTTCGCAAGATGGCAAAGAGGAGCTATTCAATAGCATTGTTTGAATGAGTCAGAGAAGAGAGATGAGGCTGATCACAATAAGAGCACTGGAAATCTCTGATATTAAGTACATGTAGAAGAAGCTACATGACTTCATCAGGCTCCTCCGGGAGAATGCTTTACAAAGAACTTTGAACATCCATTCATCTGACTATAAGAATGTCAAGTGACTTCTCTTCATTCAATAAATATTTTGCTGGATGCCTGCTAAGCAAACTCTGTTCCAATCATTGTTCTAATGGCTCTAAATTCTTCATCATCCCACTATGGGTATGACAAACATTATTTTGTCTAAAAACTAAATCTTTAAGTGTCTTCTAAATGTTAAAGTGATTATTTATGAAAGACTATTGATGTGTTTACAGTAGGGAAGAGACAATATGAATGCCATGCTTTTTGTTAAAATTGATCAGGAAAACATCTCCAAGTGTTTTTTAGAGTAGAAATTTCTAATATAGAACTAAGATAGTACTAGTCCTTAAAATTGTGCTTATTTAGTGCATAAATAAATGAGTGAATAAATAATAATCCCTGTGCAGACATTTGATTTCATAAAAGTACAGTCAGATGCCCTCTATATCCATGGGTTCCAAATCCATAGAGTCACATGACTATGGATAGAAAATATCAAAAAATGGAGTCTGTACTGAACATGTACATTTTATTCTTGTGAGTGTAACAACTATTTTCTTAGCATTTACATTGTACTAGGTATGATAAGTAACCTAAAAATGATTTAAAGTGTACACAAGGATGTGAACAGTTTGAAAACACCATATTGTTTTGTAAAGGGGACCGAGAGAGGACTGCATGAGCCCCTTAAATTCAGAAGGCTTTGATGAAGTAATAAATGACACACAGCGTACAATAAGGGCCAGCTACAAAAGTGTTATAGGGCTGTTGATCCAATCCCTTAAATGAAAACAAGTTCTAATTTTGAGAAATCCTCTTTCCAAGCTAATGTGTTATAATGTATAGCAATTTTAATTAGTATTTATTATTTGTGAAGATTTCCAAAAGACAAAAGGATCTGTAAAAATCCGGCTTTCACAGAAGGTCATATCTGCTAACCCACAATAATTTTATTTCACTAAGACTGTCAGTGGGCTAGCTGAAAAAAAGAAGGCTTTGAGACAGTTGTCTGAGAACTATTTAGTCAAGAATTTTGATGTTGTTGTTGTAGACTACCTATTTTTTATTCAATTGACTTTTGAAGCATATCTGTTTTTTTCAAAATGTGATGTTCTTGTATGCTAAGGCTTTGCTAAATTGTTTTGGCTATATAACTAACTAGAATTTTCAGAAGGGTAGCGTTTTTGTTGCATAGTTAAAAC